GAAGTCAGGAGGACCTGAGTTCAAATCCGGCCTCAGACCAAACACTTCACACTTACTAGCTGTGTGACCCTGGGCAAGTCACTTAACCCCAATTGCCTAAAAAAAAAAGAAGAAGAAAAAAGAAAGAAAAGAAAAGAAAGAATCCTTGCCCACAAAGAGCAAACAGTCTATTGGGAGAGAAATTTGTATAGAAATAAAAATAATAATCATAGCTAGCAATTATATGACAGTTTAAAATTGGTTATCTTATTTGATGCACAATAACTCTGTGAGATAGGTGCTATTATTATCCCTATCTTATAGATGAGAAAAGAGAGGCTGATAGAGGTTAATTAGCTTATCCAGACTCACACAATTCATAGGATTCCATTTCCAAATCCAGTTCTCAGTCTTTGCTGTTCAGTCATTTCAGTCGTATCCGACTCCTCGTGACCCCATTTGGGCTTTTCTTGGCAAAGATACTGGGGTGATTTGCCATTTCCTTCTCCAGTTCATTTTACAGATGAGGAAACTGAGGCAAACAGGATTAAATGACTTGCCTAGGGTCACACAGCTAATAAGTGTCTGAGGTCGGATTTGAATTCAGATCTTCAGGTTCAGCGCTCTATCCAGTGCATCACCTAGCTGCCCCATCTACTGAGCCAATTAATTTGACAACTATGTCAAGTTCTTTTTTTTTTAAAGTAATTTTATTTGGGGGAGAAACTAACAGCTCAAGAGAAAAAAAGGTCAGGAAAGGCCTTTTATAGGAGAAAGCCCTTGAGCTAAGCCTTGAAGGGAGCTAATTCAAGAGGCAGAGATGAGGAGGGAGAATGTTTCTGGAGGACAGACTAGGCAAATTCAGGGAGGCAGAAGATGAAATGTCATTTATGGGAGATAGGCCAGGTTGGTTGGAATACTGCAACACCCAAGTCCATGAGAAGGATTTCTGTGAAATCATTGGGGAAAGATTGATTGTAGCCAGTCTGTGAAGGACTTTAAACATCAAAGAGTGGTATTTGCATCTTGTCACAGAAACAGAGACAGGGCGCAGGTAGCTACTGACACGTCTTGAGCAGGGGAACCACAGACTGGTTAGAAGTATTAATTTAGCCACCGTGTAGATAGTGGTTTGGAAAGTCTTCAGACCCATTCGTGGGTCTCTGCAGAGCAATACTGACCCAAATGGGAATGCCTACTGATAGCAGCAACAAAGACAGCATCAGGTATAAGCCACAGGGCTGAGTTGTACAAATCCCTTTGCCTCTTTACGTTTCCTTCTAAGGTTTTTCTTCCAGCACTAAGTCTATGATTTTGTGTTCTCTTAATGGAGCTTAAGATTGTATGGGCTTCATTCATTGCTTCTTAGCAAGTTTGCTGTCCACTGAGATACCCAGATCTTTTTTTCAGACAAATTGCTATCTATTCATGCCTCCTCCATCTTGAAAATTTTGAACTCAAACATAAGACTTTCCATTTGTCCTTATTAGAGTTCATGTTATTTGATTTGGCCCAGTGTTTTGGGGCTTGTTGGGATATTTGGGAATCCCGACAGTGGCCTGAGATCAATCTGTTATCTCCCCAATGGTACGTAATTTAGAAACTCCAGTAGCGTACCATTCTATGACTCTATCCAAGACATTGATAACAAGTCTAAAAACAGCACAGTCAATTACAGAACCTGATCTAACAGCTTGGTACCTGTCAAAAAAAGGAAATAAATCTGGAATGGCCCTATAGAAAAGACTTCTCCATATCTCATGTGACCTAGAATGAGCAGAGATGATAATAATAAGGGAAGGAAAGGAAAGGAAGGGAAGGGAATAAGCATTTATTTAGCACCTATGTGTCAAGCACTGTGCTAAGCACTTTAAAAATATTATCTTAATCATTATCTCATTAGAAATAATAATAATAGCTAGCACTTATACTTCAAAGTTTGCTAAGTCACATATGTGTTTATATGTCTATGCATTTATATGTATATCTCTTTATATATAATTTCATTTGATTCTCACAACAACCCTATGAGGTAGGTGTTATTATGATCTCCATTTAACAGAAGAGAGAACTAAGACTGAGAAAGGTTAAGAGACTTGCCTATGGTCACACAGCTAGTAAATATTTGAGTCAGGATTCAAACTCAAGTCTTCTGGACTATGTACTATACCACTTAGTTGCCTCTGAGTTGAAAATCATCTGTTTTCTATATTGGCATGCATACTCTGAGCTTTTCTAATAATGATTGGAATAATTTTCTCTGGGAAGCTCTCTTGGGGCAGCAATAAGCAAAGCAGGAAGTGCAATTAGGTGCCTAACCCATGCTTGTACTAGCATGGTTGTACTAGTATACTGTTTCATAGATAATGATGAGGTTGTGAGGAGTGGGACACACCAGCTATCAACATGCATGTTCTGGCATGTATTCTGGCTCCAACTGTTATCATGTATGTGTTGTTCTAAATAGACTGGACTATTCCTCACAGTTTTGTCATCACCCACAAAGAGACTCAGAGCTTTTCTAATAATGATTTGGATCATTTCTCTGGGCAGCTCTCTTGGGGCATCAGTCAGCAAAGCAGGAAATGCACCTAACCCATGCTTGTACTAGCAAGGTAGCATGGATATACTTGTACCTTGTTGTGTAAATAGTGATAAAGTTGTAAAGAAAGGGACACATTAGCTATCAACATGCATGTTCTGGCATGTATTAAGCTCCAATTTTTATCATTTATGTGTTGTTCTAAATAGATTGGACCATTCCTTACAGTTTTGTCATCACCCACAAAGAGACCTTAAGACCCAAATTACTCTCCTCACACACAAGTCACTGAGAGAGTTGTTCTGCACCTGATTGTTTGGGAACCAACAGGAGAAAGAGATACGTCGTGTAGGCAAGCTTACAGAATTTTCTTTAGTTATGACTCAGATTTGCATAGCACATAAGATTTATAAAGCACTTTCATCACAACAGCTCTGAAGGAGGGTTGGAAAGACACCATTATAACCATTTTGTAAAGGAGGTAACATAATCTCAGAGAGGTTAATGGGACTCACCCACAGTCACACAGTAGTGAACCAAGTTAAGAGTCAAAACCTAGCCCCCCGAGTCTGAGGTCAGTGCCTTTTCCACTGTATGCACCATGTTACCTTTTCAAAATCCAACATGCTCTACCTATGGCAATGCTGCCCACTCCAAATGAGCACAGTTGAAGAGATAGAATTTTGAGTTACAGGACTAGCCTGGCATGGAAAACATGTGTCACTGTCAAAAGACATGAGCAGCATAAGATTTGGTCACGCAACTTTGGAATGACTCACTCAGAAAGCCTGCCTTTGGATAAACAATTTTGAAGGCATTGTTCACTGTAACAATGAACAGCCCACACTTTTATACCAGGTCATTTCACTGCTTACTCCGGCATAGAGCTAAGCACACAGTAGGCACCCAATACAGATTGTTGACTGATCAGCTGAAAAGATTAGGCCATTTCACAGTAATATATTTCAACACTGACAGAGGAAAAAAACTGTTGAGGTCATGTCCTAAGGATGTGACAAAAATGAAACTTACATTTTGACAAGAAAAACTATTTTGCAGTTAACTTTAAGGGAAGCTCATGAAGCCATAGAACTGTTATAGTAAGCAGGAGGCCTTAGCAGTCATCACAAGAAGAAGCTGAGGTGCAGACATGTTCAGAGATTTGCTGGTCACAAAACCAATTCTGGCAGAGATAAGACTAGAACTCTTGCCTTAATTCTGGTCTCCTACCATGTTGGCCTGGCACTGAGACTAAGGAATTGTCCCTCAAAAAAAGTTTTTTTTTTTTTTTCAAAGCTGTTTTGTCATTGCCTCTTTTGAAAAATCTTTCATCTTTTCTTCTCACCCAATTTTTTCCAGCCAGTTACAAGGAGGTGGTGTGATATAGGGGAAAGAACCCTAAACCTGGGAGTCAGGAGAATTAGATTCAAATCCTGACTCTTAGAGTAATTAGCCTTGTGACGTATCAAGTCACTTCACTTCATACTCTGGGCCTCACTTTCCTCACTTGTAAAATTACAGGGTTGGGTTCCATTATTTTCAAAGTCCAATCAAGCCCTGACATTCTGTTATAGAAATCTTATCAAGGCCAGAGAATGGTCTAATCTATTTGATTTCAGATACTTCTTTGGGCCCCTTTCACACTGGACTATGTCACTTTAATCAAGCTTGAAAGGCACTCATTTGGCATGAAATTAATTTTTAAATGCCCATTGTTTTCCTCACAGACCAGTGATTTTATGGATTTTGGCAAAGCGTCAGTGGAGAGGAAGCCTTCCTTAATAAGCCACACTTAGCCTAGACCCTAGAGGTTTTAAAAGGAAACAGCAGGATCCCAGCTCATCATAAATTTATCTGGCACAGATTCAGGGTATTTAAATTGATACACACGTCTATGTCTGAACATTAGCAGAACATGTCCTAAATTGTTTACCACATGGCCTCGGGATGGCTCCCAGAGGCCTGGCCCAGTGACACATCATAACATCAGCAGAGTATACAAGCCGTTCTCTCTGGTGCATTGGTGGTCAGTCACTAGAGCTAACCCAGTCTTTCTCGACCTCTAAGCTGGGGTAAATAGTGCCTTCAGAACCCAAGCAAAGCTTCCCCATAGAGCCTGAGTTTTATAATTCCATTTCCTTAAGCTCCTTGTTAGCCATGAAGGGATAAGAAATGGGGGCCATTCTTGACTTGCCACTAACACCAATTATGGGAAACATAAATCATTCAAATTTTAGTTCTTTAATAAAAATCTGCCTGAATGGGTCTTTAAAAGGAAGACTCTAGTGTTGAAGCCTAATGGGATAGAAGCAAATAGAGTAATTGGAGGCTGCTGTCTTTTCACTTCCAACATAAAATTATTTGAAGAGACAGGCCAGAACTTTGAACAGGAGAAACTCAGAAAAGTTGTAATTTGAATGTCTGCTGTTGTGACTTTAATGGTGTTTTTGCTTAAGGAGAGTTTCTTTCATGTCCCTAGACATACTTCAATGACAACATCCTTACCCTGATCCGGACGCTGGTCACGGGAGGAGCGACTCCAGAGTTGGAAGCCCTGATTGCTGAGGAAAATGCCTTACGAGGTGGCTACAGCACCCCTCAGACATTGGCCAACAGGGATCGATGTCGGGTGGCACAGTTAGCCCTGCTGGATGGGCCTTTTGCAGATTTAGGGGTAAGCTTCTGAACCCCGCCCCCCATTTGGTAATGTCCTATTTTTGCCATCACTTTTTTTTTTTTTTTTTGCTTTTTGCTGAGGTAATGGGGGTTAATTGACTTGCCCAGGGTCACATAGGTAGTTAATTGTAAAATGTCTAAGGCCACTTCTGGGGCTGTATCCTGAAGAGATCACACAAACGGGAAAAGGACCTACATGGACAAAAATGTACATAGCAGCTCTTTTTGTGGTGGCAAAGAATTGGAAGTTGAGAGGATGCCCATCAATTGGGGAATGGCTGAGCAAGTTGTGGTGTATGAATGTGATGGAAAACTATTGTGCTATAAGAAATGATGAACAGGCAGACTTCAGAGGAACCTGGAAGGACTTGTATGGTCTGATGCTGAGTGAAGGGAGTAGAAACCAGGAGAGCATTGTACACAGTAACAGCCACGTTACATGATGACTAATACTGATAAACTTAACCCTTCCTGGCAACGCAAGGATCTAAGACATCTCCAGAGACCTTGTGATGGAGAATGCTATCCACAGCCAAAGAAAGAACTATGGAAGCCGAATTGCTGATTTTTTTCTCTTCTGTTGAGTTTTGTTTCCTCTTTCTGATGGTTCTTCCTATTGGTTTTAATTTCTACTTACAATATCACTAATGTGAAAATATGTTTAATATGAATGTAGATGTATAGCCTATATCAGATTCTGCACCATCCTGAGGAGGGTGGTGGGGAGGAAGGGGGAGAAAAATTTTAAACTCAAAAGCATATGGAAATGATTATTGATAAATCAAAATAAATTAATAAAAAAAACCATAGATATTAAAAAAAATGTCTAAGGCCAGATTTGAACTCAGGTCCTCCTGACTCCAAGGCCAGAGCTCTATCCACTGCGCCACCTAGCTGCCCCTGAATGTTAGATTCTTTGTTTTTGTTTGTTTTGTTTTGTTTTGTTTTTTGGCTAGGCAATGGGGTTGAGTTGCCCAGTTGCCATCACTTTTTAATGAAACAGTAAGAAATCAGGTATTTCATTTTCCTTCCCTACTCCATTTATCTGCCTCCCTCTACCTGGTCAATGACCTATTCAGGACTTTTTTCTATGGAATAGATAGTTCATGATTGGAACTTCTCCTGGAAATTCCACTAAATGCTTCTATTATTCATCTCCTGCCTCTTAGCTGGCCTCAGCTACCTTTCCCCTGACCAGGAAATATCTTGGGTCAGTGTTGACAAAGACCAAGGCATCTATGCAGAAGTCCCAGGTGCCAGTCTAGACATGTCAGCTGAAGTAAGTGAATGGCATTTATAAAGCCCATAGGAGTATAAGACCACAGATCTGGAATTGTAAGGGACCATCGAGGCCATCTAGACTACAAATGAGAAAACTGGGCCAATAAAGGGCAAATGACTTTGCCCAAGGTGACATGGGCCTTGGAAGAGGTAAGATTTGGCCCTTTTTGCACTAGCAGTTACCAAGCTCTTTTCATACATTATCTCAGTTGATTCATCTAATAAATTTTTTCCCAGAAAGGGATCATAAATATTCTTAGCCCTCATTTAAAAATGAGGAACCTAAGTCTTAAAGATAAACAGTTCTGCTCAGTGTCCCCAGACTAGTGAATGGAGGAACCAGGACACAGAGGCAGGCCTTCAGAGTTCCATTCCAACATTCTCTCTTTCTGCTGTGTCTTGCTATCTCAAACAAAAGTCTGGTGCCACCAGCCATTTCTCTTATGTGATTCCATATGCTGACGGTAGTAGCAGGATAAAATACGGTGTTTGCCAGGCATACATTTTTCCCTAGTTAAACCACTGGATTAACACCAACTGTGGGAGGTCTTCTAACTTCCTAGATCCACTGAATTCACAATTCAGTTTCCTAACAATTGGATTTGCTTTCATGTCCCATGTTGGCCAGTGATGGTTGTGTTTACTGTCCCAGTCAGGTGGAAGGCAATTGTGAAATGATCAGAGCTGTGATTGCCAGTAATTCAGAATTCAGACCGTGGCTCTTGGGAAACATGCTCCCTCCCACCCTCTCCCTGCCATCACCGAGGTCTGCAAATTGTGCTTTTCACACAGTCCTTACCTGCAAGTGAGTGTCACCCTCATGCCTGGTGGCATCTCTTCTCCTTACTGGGGTTTTAATTATCACTAGGGCAAGTTTTGACAACACCATCAAATCAAGCAAAGCACAGCACAGTGGGTCCTTGAGAGCCAGAGCAAAGTTTAATCATTCTTTCAAAGAGACCATTTTTCTCTTCTTCTCCTGAGTGAAAGCTCTCAGTCCCCAAAGCTTTCTGCTTCCAATTAAAATCAGACTCACTTACTCTTCTCCCAAGTTTGGCCAGGCCTATTCTGGTGAAATTTCTGGGGAACACCCCAGCTTGTGTCCATCACTGCCTATTCCAGGAGATTGTCACAACCTCATACAAACTGTTAACCAGGTGACTGCTTTGTGGTTGTCCCATTGGCACAGACACTCCATCTGAAGGGTCATACCCTCACCCCTAAAAGGATTCTTTAATGCAGATTTCTTTCCTCCTTAATCTCTATTCTCAGACTAATAAAAATTATATATGTATATGTAGAGATATACAACATATATGTGTATACATATATATGTGTGTATATGTATATATATATATTTTTTTTTTCATGTGTTGTCTCCTAGGATGGTGGTTGTTATGGTGATCTATTCTGTAAAGCCCTAAAGACCTACAATATGCTCTGCTTTGGAATTTACCGGCTGAGAGATGCCCATCTCAGCACACCAAGCCAATGCACCAAACGGTGAGTGCTTTCTGCTGCTGTTCCCAGGCATGGAGCAGTAGGTGCACACTCAAATGGCATAGGGAGAGAGCCACAGGCGAAGCTCATGTCTACAGTGGAAAAATGGTTCTCCTCTCAAGAGATCCAATGCCCTTCCTGCCCCCCCCCACCCCAAACCAAATCAGTGGTGGTTCATGAAAAGACTCTCTTTTAGATAATTATCTGAGATTGAGGTATTGGAATAAGGAAAAAGCATCACAGAGAATGCTTATCACATCCTGTGAGCCATAATAGGAAATATTGGTACACGTACATATCTATAAAAATGTACCCTAGATCTCACCAGCTATGGCTGGCTGTGTTTGCATAACCCCAAATATTCATGCATTTCATGTATTTATAGACCAAGCACCTGCTTATTAAATACATTTTTATGTGTATCTTTTGCTTTTACATAGCTTAATTTCCTCTTGTATCTCTCCCTTTTTCCCTTCCCAGAGAGCCAGCCCATATGTACTTTAAAAAAATCTGAAAAATTCAGTTATTTGGATATTTGGCATTGTATAGTGTCTTTTCTACTATATTAAAAGATCACAGGATAGTAGATTTAGTGCTGGGAGGAAATTTAAAGTTCCTCTAATCTGACTTCTTCATTTTATGCAGGAGGAGAAAACTGAGGCCAAAAAGGTTAAGTCATTTGCCCAAAGTCACATAGGTACTAATTGGCAAAGGTGAGATTCCAAGATCAGGTCATCTGACCTCCAAATTCTTTCCATTATACCAAAAGATAGTCAGGGGATAAGTTTATGTGTTATACTCCTTGACCACTGAGAATTCCCAATGAGGTTTAGTTTAAGAGTCTGATTATAATGTTGACAGAAATGTATCCTTTGTCATATGTTCAGTAGTGAGGAACCAGGGCTATCTGGGGATTTTGTGGTAGATCTGTGAATAAAAGATATAGTCCAGGCCACCTGACTTTCAAATGGCAAATACCTTCCTCAATCAGAATTAAGCTAAGGTTTTTCTTCTTGTGGAATTGTAAGAACACAGGGCAGGCACAGAAAAATGGGTTTTGTATAATTAACTACAGGAAAAAGAACCTAAAAGGCCCAAAGAAATAGCCTGGGATTGGGCTTAAGAAACAAGAGTTGGTTGAACCAGAAGGGTACGAATCAGAGCAGACCATACAAGTAACAGGTCATTTTCCCATATTCCACATATGGCTCTATGCATGAACCCAATATCTGAAAGTTAAGAAGGAGTCTGTTTAGAACAATCACAATTTCAAAGGGTTAGAAAATTAGCTTTCATGACGGCAAGGGACTAGATGGGATGGTCTCTTGAAGCCATTAATTAAAAGATTAAAACAACAACAATAACAATAACTTCCAGGCAATGTGTCTAGAACTGGTAATTAAAAAAAAAACAGTCTCTGCCCCCAAGGAGCTTACATTCTACTGGGGAAACATCAGTACATAGAGATAACTATAAAGTAGATGGAAAGTCATCTTAGAGGAGACCTCTGAAGGGTTGGAGGAGGTAAGTCGTCTCTGACTAGGTAAAGAGAAGAGGGTCAAACACTCCCTGTGATTCTTGTGTCCTTGAAGCCCCCTTTCTCGTTTCTTTTCCAGATACGTCATCACCAACCCTCCGTATGAGTTTGAGCTGGTGCCCACTGACCTGATCTTCTGTCTGATGCAGTTTGACCACAATGCTGGACAGTCCAGGGCCAGCCTCTCTCACTCTTCTCACTCCTCCCAGTCCTCCAGCAAGAAAAGTTCCTCTGTTCACTCCATCCCCTCCACGGCAAATCGGCAGAACCGCCCCAAGTCCAGGGACTCTCGGGACAAACAGAAGTATGTGCAGGAGGAAAGACTTTAATATGTATACCCACTCCCACCATGTGTGAAACTGTATCTGCCACTCATTCCCCAGTTGGTGTTCCCAACAGTAACTTCCCTTGTCCTCCCCCTTCCAGTTCTCTCCCCCTTTTTATACACATATTTTGCATATGTATGATAGTGTGCATGTGACTGTCATTTTTATTTTACCACCATAAAACCCTTAAGCACAACAGCAACTAAGCAGACAGACGGACCAAAAGTTATTTATGAGTCTAGGGGAAAAAAAAAATCATAGGCATGCTAAAAACATAAATAACTCAACTGCAGAAATGATTTTAGAGATTAGTGGAGAGAGGCTATTCAGTGTGAACACTCCTTAGCAAAAGCAGAGCTATACCCAGAAAGTTCTAGAATGCAGAAATGCTGATGCATCAGGGTGCTTTGGGGGTATTCTTTTTAAATACTCACAAGAAATTTGTACATTTATTTGAAAGAAGCAAACAAAAAGAAAAAAAAAAGCTAGTGATTGTCTCCACTCTCCCAACTATAACAGTGTGAAGCATTTGACAGGCCTACCCTGTTTGCTTGGATTTTTATTAAGCACCTATGTCCAGCAAACTAATGTCAGGGATTCGTCTTTGAAGACCTTTCTGTTTCATGATCTTCTTCTTTTGGAAAACATTTGTGTTCCACTTTTTTTTTTAAAGAAACAATAACAGTATTCCATTCATGGAGACAGCAAACTCTAGTAATTTAATTTAAGTAAAAAGGGTCTAATTACATATTGAATTGTTAGTCTGTCTCTGTGTGCTGCCACATAGAAAACTGTTTCTTTTTTTCCTTTTCCTTTTGACATTTGGGATGAAAAGCCATATGTATCATAAATATCAGATGTAAGTCATTAAAAACTGCCTTCCTGGGACTTTTACATCTTTTCAAAGGTGAATCACTCACCTTATGTACAGAATAAATAACGCTCAGAAAAGAGCAAGTATTTTTCCACATATCCTCAGGGGATCTTCACCCTCCGCCCTGCCCCCCTCCCCCAACTTGGTTGATTTGTGTAGGCCCTGATCCCTGGCACTGTGTGGGTCTGATACAATGAGACAGCCAAGGAAGATAAAACAAGAAACAGATAATATTTTTCTAGGTCGCAGCGTGCAAAAGTAAATCAGAAAGTGGGATTGAGGCAGAGCCCACAAAAAAAAACAAAGGCAAAGGCAGCCAATGCCCTTGAGAAGTCATGGCTTCTGGTAGCATTGTCCCCAGTTGTCCAGGGGAATTGAAGGGGTTAAAAAGTCCTGGCCTAGGAGTCTTTTTAAAGGAGCACAAATCCTCTTCATGCCTTGGCTCATCCAGAAAGACTCTCATTAGCCAAGTGAAAAGGAAGAGAAAAAAACCAAAACCCAAAAACCTGGCACCTACGGACCTAGTCAAGGAGGAGCACAATGGGCCAAAAACTTGTGGTGCATCCCCTTTTTTATAGCAGTTAGTTAAAGGACCTGTAAACTGCCTTCTCCCCTACCCCAAAATGCAAAATTCAGTGGTCTTTGGCCAGACTATTCACAACTAGTCACAGAAATGCTTCCTAAAAATTAGCCTTTCCCACTACAGCCAAGCTCTGGAATCTTTTGAGATTGGATAGCTAGTGGGAAGAGTCTGGTGGGGTGATTAGGAAAGCATGTTTTAGTTTGTTTGGGGATTTTTCCCCCAATTCTCTTAGCTGGGGCTGGGGAGTAGGGGTGGGGTTGGGGAACTTGAGGGTGGGGATAAGTAAAAGTCATAGCTGTACCAGCTTGGAAGAGGTTTATGATTCATATTTCAGAGTACAGTTTTTGATCCCCTACTTTCCCAAGCATGATATATGTATATATTTTTTGGAGATTTGCTTGCTGTGTGAATGGACAAACTCAGTGAGGCTTTGCCGGCAGGCACCTCCCTAGAACTATACCAGCACCAGGGAATAGGGGATATATATATATGTTTATGTGTGTGTGTGTGTGTGTGTGTGTGTGTGTGTGTGCATATATATGTATATATATGTATGTATATGTGTATATATATACATATATATATACTACATGTATGTGTATTAAGATGGACTAGAAACCCTGTGAGTGGAAGGTATTCTCCAATTATTTTCATTCAAATATATATAGATATATAGATATATAGATATAATATTATCTGTAACTATGTATAACTCTATATACACTAGTTCTGGATCATGAAAATTTTTTTCATGCATCCTTTGCAAAGGAGGTTATAAAGTTATGCCCTCAGAACATTTATAACTACAAGGATGTGCCAGTTAAAGTTGTCAACAGGAAATATGACAGTTTAAAAGCATTGTAAAACTTACAGAGCTTACTTCTCTCTCTAAAGTGCAACAAGGATGAATAGAATGGGCCAAGGTATGATAATTAATGGTTCTGCATGCCCTAGCCTCTGCTGTGGGTTTTCTTCTATAACGCTGTCCTTGTGAAAACTTGTGAAATTAAAAAAAAAAACAACAACAAACAACAAACAAAAAAAAAAGGAGTTACAAACTTTATTCTGTTATGGCTTTGTTTATTTTATTGTTATTTTTTGTGGTTTTATTTCTCTTTGCTTCCTCCCCTCCCCTCACCTTCCTCTGTCCCTTTCCTTGTCCCCATGTCCCAAGTGGCCAAGAGCAATGAGGCTGCACTGCTGCTCTGCTGGATTCCTCCTTCACCCCCCTTCTCCTTCTCCATTCCCTCCCCCGGATGTTTTGGTCGTTGGTCTTGGGTTTCTGTATTTTCCTCTGATGATTCACCTCCCTCCAGTTCACCTTGAATCTGCACGTGTCCTCACTGTCCCTCCTTGGTACCTTGCTCAAAGTCCAAAGTCATTTCCCTCTCCTGAGACCTGGCTTCATTCAGTCCTCTCCCCACCATCCCATCCTCTCCATCATCAGTCTGTCCACATCTTTGAACATCTCTCTGTTTATCTTGGCAACAGCTACCGAATCGAGTCATGATGCCAGTTGATAAACCTTTTTTTGGAAAACATGTGCAGCTTTTCCATCTGGCAAACTTGCTTTTCTGTTAACTTTTTCTTCCTTTTTTTTTTAAAATACTATTTGGAAGCAGGAGGAACAATTTTGAATGACCAAAAGGAATGTTCACACGTGTGTTAGTTTGCTATGCCCTGGATTTAGAAGTGATTTGACTAGACGATAAGACTTTGGTCCACTCTCAATTATTTAGACACTGGTTATTTGGTTTGGGCATTAAATATACACCTCTCTCCTGCCTTTTCAATGTGCCAAGCTGTCCACAGTGAATGCTGATCAGAGGCTGGGTGCACACAAAGGGCGAATTAATTCAATTTCAAAACAACAACAACAACAATGTATCTCCTTGTTAGTGACTCTAATCTGGTTTGATGGGGATGAAGTGAGAACTCTCCTCCGAGACGGGATTTGGGGATTATCTGTACATTTCATTAAACCTGTGAGCTAACCCTGTTCTCCATTAACTCAGATAATTGAGAGTTGACTCTATTTGTATAATGGTGTGTTCAGTGTTGCTGATGGAAGGAAATTCAATTCAACAAACATAAATTAAGCACTATTTTGTTTACTGAGGAGCCCTACTCAACCAGTGAGATAATCACAGCAAAGTATGCCTTCCAAGAGCCAGGAATGTCCTCCCCACCAGTCTTTGCTCTCCTCCCTCTGGTAGAAGTTGTACATTCCTCTTTCAGGAGTATATCTGACTACTCAGGGGTGCCTGGTACTTTCTCATACTCATTTCAAAAACAAAACAAAACAACAACAGAAACAAAAACAAACATACAAACAAACGAACAAACAAACCAAGTAAGGATATGGGAAGCAAAGAGCTTCAAAGTTATTTTGAAAGAAAACAGTACTTTTCCGAGGGAAACATACTAGAAACTCACTTAATCACTTCCTCTAGTCTAAGATAGAAGATATTTTCCACTCATTCAGTCCTATTTGCTTTGGCTTTGAAAAGAGGCCATCAAATGATTTGATGGGTACAAGGTACAAAATCCTGTTTATCCTAAAATGCTAAGGACTTGATTAAATCATTAGTTTTTTAGTGATGGGGATGAAGTCAAAACTCTTGTCTGAGATAAGATTTGGGGATTACTTATATTCCCCAGTGGCCAAACTAGGTGTGTAAGAAGAGCCTGTCTTAGCTCAAAAAACAAAAACCAAAACAAAAACCAATGTTTGTGCAAAAGCAGAGGATTCTCCAAAAAAAATAAAATAAAAGGATAAACAAAGATTTATGACCCTGAAAGTTCAAATGTCACTAATAAGTATAATGATAATTGCTATTTAAAATTAGCCCATTAGATTTACTTTCATTAGTCCCTCATACTCCATCAGTCCCTCAGCTGACACTGTTGATAGCGCCATCTTCTACCCTGGTGTATGGATTCTAAAATGAGGGAGGGATAGATGAACTGTGCTTTTTCAGAAGAGGAAGGGGACTACCTTAGGTACAGATTAGTTAATTGACAAGCATTTATTAAGCACCTGCTATGTGCCAAGCACTGAGACAAAAGTGAAAGAGTTCCTGCCCTCAAGCATCTTATGTTCTACTAGGAGAAGCAACAGACACGTAAAATAGGTGGAGTAGAAGCTTATTTGAAGGAGTAAGATAAGGGCTCCTGGAGGGAAGTGATCAGGCAAGGCCTCACCTAAGACAGTGATGAGCTGAGTCTGGAAGGAGACTAGGTGTGTAGGGGGAACCTTTTGCAGCTCTGCAGCAGTAAGAGGAGAGAAAAGGTGTCTGTGTTCTCCTGCAGACAATTCTAGCAGCCTGTCACATTTCTCTAACAATATCACTCCAGAAGGAGAAATGACGGGACAAAAACTACAGGCTTTTCCTAAGACAAGTAATAGTGAAAGCCAATGTCTCAGCCAATTATATAGCCACTCACTTCTTTCTCAAAGTAAAAAAAAAAGTGGCTCTTAACTCAGATTTCTTTGTGGAGTGGGTCACAAGGAAGGGTTCCTGCATTCTGTCTGTGGAAAATTCACTGGAGTCTACAACGATGCCCCCCAAAAACGCAAGCAAAAATCTATGCACCATGCAGCTCTGATTCGAGCCCCTAAGGAGAAGAAATGGCGGAAGGACACAATGTTGATGCTACAAATATGCAAGGCAGGCTGTATTGTCCACCTAATCATGGCTTAAGCCTTTCCTCCCTTCAAATAAAATGTTCTTCACATTGAAAAATTGCCCTGGAAGAAATCAAAAAGTTCCGGATCATGAAAATAGTTTAACTTCTGTGCAAACTGATTCCCTGCTCTATTGAAGAGGAGGGCTTGGTAGGCAATCACAGTGAAGAGAGGAGGCTGGAGAAGATGACAAAAAACTCGAGACACTTCATGTAAGGAGAACAAGGTTTTCAACAACTGGGTTTTGCCTTTAAAAGGCAGGAGCTCATTGTTATCCCTCTGTTATTCTCAATTGTTGTTTCTACCCAAAGGAAATCTTTCCTTTAAAATATTTTATCTCTAGGCTTCAGCTTGTGGTATGGGAAAAACAGGTCCAATTACTCCAAATGCCTTTGCTGCATCTTTTTTTCCCTCCCCCTTTTTCTGTTCTCTTGAGAGGAGTTACTGTGAAAAGACTTAATTGGACAGTGCTGTCAGAACCTGCAGAACTAGCAAACAGATCCAATTACCTCTACCACAGAACTGGTCCTCTGACTTCTAGATGGATACTCAGAAACAATGGGAGTTCAGATTTGGCCAAGTCAGCCTGGGGACTCAGCCTGATATAGATCAGGACTCTTCCTGACCTATATCACTGGACCCAGATGGCTCCAGAGGAGAGAGTTAGGCTCTCCCTCTCCCTCACTCAAATCCAATTCACTTGCAAGTCATGACATCACCTTCCTGATGTCATGGTCCTCTTCAAGAATGAAGGACAAACAATGATCTGTGAGTAGTAAGTAGTAGCTGCCCCACTAGGGACCCAACCGGCCAGTTCCAGTTGGGCAATCCAACCTGCTCCTTCGTTCCTTCCTTCTTTCCTTCCTTCCTTCCTTCCTTCTTTCCTTCCTTCCTTCTTTCCTTCCTTCCTCCCTTCCTTCCTTCTTTCCTTCCTTCCTTCCTTCCCTTCCCTTCCTCTTTTCTTCCTTCCCTCTCTCCTTTCCTTTCTCCCTCCTTCCCTCATTCCCTGCCTCCTTTCATCCTTTCTTCTTTCCTTCCCTTCCTCCTTTCTTCCTTGCCTCCCTCCTTTCCTCCTTCCTCCTTTCTCCCTCCCTCTTTTCCTCCTTCCTTCCCTTCCCTTTTTCCTTCCTTCCTTCCTCCTTCTTTCCTTTCCTCCTCTTCCCTTTTTTCCTTCCTTCCTTCTTCCTTCCTTTCCTCCTCTTTCCTTCTTCCTTCCTTTCTTCCTTCCTTTCCCTTCTCTTCCTCCTTTCTTCCTTCCCTCCCTCCACTCTTTCCCTCCCTCCTTCCCTCTTTGCCTCCCTCCTTCCCTCTTTTACTGCCTCCTTCCTTCCCTTCCTCCTCTCCTTCCCTCCTTGCCCTCTGTCCACACATGGAATCATACCCTTACCTGAGGGTTCTGCCCAAATGATTATAAATTTTGATCACTGAAACCTAGCAAGATATCTTGGGGTTTGCAGGGTAGCTTTATTTTTTTAAGGACCATATGTTAAACCCAATCTACTCTGGCTGTCATTGATTGGCCAACAATAGGTCCCAGTCCAAGCCTTACTTGGTCATTGTTTGGGCTATGATGGTTCAGAGGCAGTATAAATAGCAATTGTTTCTGTTTTGGCCAGAAACACTGAGGGGCTTCCTCTCCCAGATAGATTTCATTTTTTGTTTGTTTTGTTTTGTTTTGTTTTGTTTTTAATTAGTTAAAAGAGTCCATTCTTTGCCTCTTTTCTTACCTATCCTTAATCTCTGAATGGGCATTGCCTCAGTCAAATTGAGACCTGGGAAAGATCTTAACTTAAAAAGGCCACTGCAACTGGGGCCATCTCCAGTCATCTTGATTTGAATCTTGCCACTGGACCCCAATGGCTCCAGAGGAGCCAGTGAGGCTGGTAACTTTGCACAGCCCTCCCTCACTCAAATCCAATTCACTTGCAAATCATTTTATCACCTTCTTCATGTCATGGTCCTCTTCAAGGAGAAGCACAAACAACAAAGGAATGAAAGAGATCTAGGGATCCACATTTCCTATTGTAAACATGTTGAATTTTCCCAGAAAGCTTTGTTTCAGACAAACTCTTTGCCCTTATCACATTCTACCTAGGTATTTGTACACATGTCATATGCTCTGCCTCTGTGAACTCCCTCCTCTCTACCCCCAGCATTAGATCGTAAGCCCTCTGAGAGCATGGTATTTTTCATCCTTGTATCTTCGGCACCTAGCATAGTGTCTTGCATAATAGA